TATTATTATTAATTACTTTCCGTTTTAGCTTTTTTTTTTCATTTTGTGTTTTGTCTTAATATACCGTTTTAGCAGTGACGTCACATACGCCAAATAATAGGTACATTGCCATAGTGCACATTGTCATGAAGATTTTCTCAATATTTTTATTAGATCGATTTTCGACCTAATGTAACTTTGGACATAAGTGCCAAAAAATGGCTTTTTTTGTCATGACCTTAAAATTGCGATATTCTGGCAATATTAGAAATATTTAAGAAGTTTCAAACCCCAAGTAACAAACTAATAGAATTATAGAATTTATATATTTAAATTTATAGAACAATATTGACTTTTATAATAATTAATAAATTAAAATTATATAAATGTTACTGAGCATTAAAGATAATTTCATGTAAGCGAAGTATCCTTGCAACAGGATATCATTCAAGAAAAGTTTGGTTGTGATTAAGAGTAAGTCTATAATAAACCACTTGAAGAAAAAGACACTCGATAAATACATTGACACAGTACAGCACCAAGAAAAACAAAAATACTTAGTAGAACTAGAAAACGTCAAGATTAAACAAAACAAAAGAAAATACGCTAATGGTGACATCGATAACATATCAACAAGATCTCACCTGCGTATGAGGCTATTTTTTTCGAGCATTAGCATTAGGAATAACACGGCTAATGTTAAATTTTTGTGAAATGTTAAGAAGATGTGTTAGCAAAATAATTTGTACTTCCCTCAGTGTAGGTTACCTTATTATTTGTACGTAATGACAATAATTTAGAGACTTTCTGACAGTGGCTCAAAAGGGGCCTTGTTAATTTTAAGAGGCCTACATCTTTCAAGGCATAAAATCTGTGACGAACCAGTTTTCCAGGTAGGTAGTACTAAAACTTAAGTGTTTTGTTTTACTAACAAGGTCAATTATTTCGGAAACTCTCAACTTCAGAAACATCTCATATTTTGCTTATTATGAAAATTATTGTTTAAAATATTGTTTTAAAATCTGGTAAATCAACTTAAAAATATATCAAATGCCTATTGATAATAATAATTATTATTAAAAAAATGATTTTGTTCTAATTACGAATATAAACAAGCTCTATGTTATAAAATTTCTTTAAAACAATTTTCTGTAGCACAACTGTATCTCTATAACATCAAGATGAATAAATTGTATTAAAAATTAGGATACCTTTTCATATAATCTGTTTTTAATGGACTGTGGGTAGATATGCCCCTTTCACGCATATGTTGTTACATATGTTTTTGCGATTAGAGATTTCTTCTTAATATCTTAAATTTAGACACAGGGCACAACTAGGTGGTATTATTTAAATCTTACATGTTGCATAAGGGGTAACTAACAGATTTCGAAATATTCAGTTTTACTTAAAAGAGTAAATTTTTAAAATTTCATAACATCAATATGAATTGATCTATTCGAATAATTTCTATATCGATAATCTTTAATATGTTTAGCATTATCATTTAGATAAATTTAGAAATTAAGAGGTTCTCAATGACTGAAAAACCTAACGATTTTCAATGAAATATCGGAACATAAATATGGGACATTCCACGCCAAATCACTGAGGTCATTTTTAAACGGATCATTTTTAAATTTCCTGTTTTTTTTTTTGTATTATTTAGTATAATTTAAAGTAGCTTTCATAACATTTTTTCAAATTTTGATTTCAATTCCTCAAGAAGTTATGAACATTTGGATATTTTTGGTAGTTTTTTTGAGGTGTTTTTTGATTTTTAAACCAACAACTACTTTTTGAAAAACTGTGGAGTTGTTTTTCTTTGAAAAATTCTCAAAGAATTCGTCTTTTAATTGGCAAATTTACGAGACAGGTTCTAGAGTGGGATTTTATTTTTATTTTTCGAATTAAAACAGTTTCTTTTATTTATTTTTTTACAGATATGCTATTAAACCAAATTTTATTATAGAAGAAAATCGCAATGACTAATTACTAAAACTAAATTACTAAGTAAATATCTAAATTTTTATTAACTAAATATTTTTTTTTCAATATTAACGTTTGTTTTGCATAATGCCATAGTAGGTAGGTACTTGTTATATTTTTGACCTTTTATATTCAGTAAAAACATTTATATACAGGGTGTTTCACGGTGACGGCCCATTAGAATTATTTCAGACTACCTCGATTTGAATTTTGAAAATTTGGGATACCGGATTTTCGGGCATGCCCTTCTCAACTAAAATAATGGCGTCCACGTACCACTTCCGGTTATACCGGAAGTCGCCATCAAATTGCTTATTTTAAATGGAACACCCTATATATTATTGTAATTTTGGATTCTACGTGTTATTTTAGGTGGACTTTTATGAAGTTTCCCCATTCCTAGAATTAACCGTTTTCGAGATATTTAATTAAAAAAAAAAATGGAGAGAAACAGTGACTTGCTTCAAATCATGTGTATTTTATAGTAAGAAAGATAAAGGAACAATATTTATAGGGGGGATAGCTAGACCCCTAAGCTTCGCATCCATACTTTCAAAGTGACTTAATTGCATACAGGGTGCTAGAAATTTAATGACGAGTTTAGTTAACTTCAAACCTTCATAAGTCGGTTTTTTTAAATGGAACCTATTGTATGTTTTTTATATTCTGATACACAATTTTATTCTCTTTCGAACAGTATTAGAGTTCCCTATACCTATCTGTTCCAGTTTTTAAATTATCTACTATTTTTTGTGTAATCACCTAAAATCATGTAATTTCTTGCGAGGTTAGCTGTGGAATTTTTAGCAAAACTTCAAAACAAAC